CATCAGTCAATGAATGGTTTTCTTTCATTACAGGTGATACTTTGACGTTAAGGGCAGTAACATGTATTTTGGGGGATGTATACAATGCTAGACCATTACATAATACTATGTTATTATTGACACGCTATTATATATTTAAATGTAAAATTGTTGGGACAAAACCAGACATTGGTGGTTTTAGATCATATATCAAATTAATTTATCATACAGAGAAGAAAGTCGCAATTATAGAAAACAGACAGGGAAGTCACAATAAAAAATGGGGAGAATTCATTCATTAAGCATAAGTCTGTATTTGTGTAGTAACCTGTAATGTATTTGTGTATTGTATCTTTGTTTTGTTAAGCATATCAATAAAAAAAAAAAAAAAAACAGTTCATTCGACAAATGAAAAACTCACAGGAATATGTTTCAGCTATTAGAACAGAATGATAGAGTTTTTATAATACTAGTTTAAAAACACACTTCAAAGATTCTCGGGAGGCAACAGTACTGTTGACTTCTCCCTCCACTGGACACCAACTAACTATTTACTGTAAGTTGATTTGCATACAAAGCAGAGCTTGCAACATGATAGCTATTCATAAAGGGTGTTTTTTTTTTACTTTTCATATAATACAGTAGTCACACAATGAGGCAGTTCATATTTGTCTCAGTGAATCATTAATTTTTGAGGCCTGTACAAAATACTTGGACTAAAGCCAGCTAAAATTTTCTGTTATCTTGCATGTTTTATGAATCTATTCACATCTAAATGCAGCACTTTTTTTTTTCAATGATACATTTGTTTTTATACTAAAATATCTGAATTATTTTGAAGAAAGCTGGAAATTATGTCCCTTAAAATAATTAAACAAATAAGGCACCAATGCTGTTTTTGTAAGATATTTACATCTTTTAAGGACATTCTGTAGACTGATTCCCCACTGTTGGTTCAACCCCAAAACTTGTTTGTATTTAAAATTAATTATGACAATGCATATTCATATTGAAACAAACTGTGATAAAGGAAATTATATTATAGTATATAGTATAGAATAGTATAGTATGTTTTATTTACTCAAATTAATGAAACGAAAATACATTAACCATGGTCAATAATCATACACAAAAAAGAAACACAATAACAAGAAATACAGATATAAAAAATAACAAAGGGCAATCTCACCAGAGTTCAACTATGTTGGGTAAATGTTGTCAGGATGACGATGCAGTACGTATTTATTTGTGATTAGTATTCAGACAACTACTTGTATCAAAACATTTTTAAAAGGTAAAAAAATCCAAG